GTTTATCCCCTGCATTGATTTAGTCCTTATCCTATCCATTTGGCTCTGGCTTTCTTTATACGTACGCACAACCTACCTCCGCTGTTCCACCGACTTACCTTTGACAGTGTAGCTCGGCACCTTAGTGCGAATGACCTCAGCATTCTGGCTAGGTAACCCAGCTATATTCTTCCTCCTAGCTAACATAGCTATCGCTAATCATTGTCACTATTTAACATTAACAACCCTGCACTGTCACAATGTCCTTCGCTTCGTATCCCTTGCCTAGCCCTACTCCTAAACTCATCTACATTGATATGGCTTTCATTTTCACCTACTAACTTCGTACCAAGGCTGCAACGCCGAGTAACCCATAATGCGGTAGCTCCGCACACTTGTGTGAATGACCTAAAATATTTGGCCATGCTGCCTACCTATATCCTTCCTACAATCTGGCATTGTTAACCATGTTATTGTTCCTCTATGTCGCCTTAACAGCCTTGTGGTTTCCCTCTTTACCTAGTTTTGTCTCCCTTGCCTCGTCCTACCTCTTCACTTATGTATTTGGCTCTGGCTTTCATTGCCTCCTACTCACCATCCAACTCCGCTACTCCAATGACTAACCTTTGACACTGTAGCTCCGCACTATTGTGCGTAGAACTTTAACTATTCATTGTCTAGCCAACCTACATCCTTCCCCCAAACTGTCTTCATTATCATTTTTAAACTTAGCAACACCGATTTCCCTCTTTACTCGTAGTTTATGCTCCACATTTCTTAACCTTCCTCTTATTTCTGGCCCTAGCTCTCAATTCCTCTTGCGCCTCACCCAGTTCCGCTTCTACACCGACCTACCTTTGGCACTAGCTCCATACCTTAGCGTGAAGATCCCCAAATATTTGGCTATGCTGCCCATCTATATCTTTCCCCTAGTTGATATCGTGTTCTCTAACAAATTTTCCACTATTTAGCCATTAAAAGGTAGCATATTCTCTCTTCACATCACTTTATATCCCTTGCCAATCCTACCTCTTACTAATTTAGCTCCGGCGCTCCCTTAACCTCTTATTGCTGAGCGGCTTCTGCTACGCATTTAATCCGGCTCTTACATTAACTGCCCACTGCGTCCAAGTGACTTACCAGTGACACGGTAGAGCTCCAACTTCGAGCGGTTCACTTAATCTATTAAAGAGCCGTTGGGCCATTTTATTCATCAACCGTTGATCCTTAGTATAGTTAGTTAAGCAACCCTATCCTTGCTCCAGCCAAGCCAAAAGATCCTATAAATTTCATTTTTTTTCACGTACTGATGCCCAGCAGTCCATGCTCCCATAATTCTTCAACCAGGAGCGGCTTCTGCCACGTAGTTAATCTGGCTCTTACTCTCACTGCCCTCTGAGATTAAGTGACTTACCAACAACCCCGCAGAACTCCACCTTCGAGTCGTTCACTTAATCTACTGAAGCGCCGTCGGGCTATTTTATTCCACAACTGTTACCTACTTGTATAGCTGGCTCTGCAACCCTATCGTTGTTCCTGCAGTGACATCTTTCCTATCAAGCAATGCTCCCCTTCCAAGATTTGTTCCTTTACCACCCTTCCCTCGTACCGCGTCTCCTTTTTATTGCTGAATAGTTCTATATATTCTGATATTTAGCTTCTGTATACGTGTATTCCTTTCGCAACACGCAGTGGTGTTGCACAACACGGTGAGTGACGTGGTAACTAAATTTAAATATATGCAGGAAGATATAATCGAGCTTAAACTCAAATTATCATAACTTTTTCAAATTGTCGTCCTGACACAATCAGCACAAAACCCCACTCCAGACCATCCCAAATGTGCTGCTGCTTTCGTAGAGGTTATCGCATCTGAACTACTTGGCAGAGTGCGATGTTCTACCATTGCGGTTGTGTTTACCGTCCCAGATGAAATTCTACTGAAATCAATAAAAGAATTCTACTTAAAACCGGAACCATGAGCGATGTGCATTGCAGTTATAAAAGACTAAAGAAAAAGGTCAAACCGTCCCATTCTTTTTCAATTCCACGACTCTAAAACTGCCAACAACTTTATTAAAATGCGCGAGCTTATAGCCACTAACAATATTTTAAGAAAGCGCAAAGGTTCTCGAGTACTTGGCTATGCTGCCTACCTATACCCTTCCCCTAGTTGAGATCGATAGCTCTAATAATGTCTACCCTCCTTAATCATTAAAACGTTGCATAATCTCTTCTAACCTCGTTTCATATCCCTTGCCTAATCATTATCATTCTGTTCCTTTTTCGCTCTAATTTTTATTTCCTCTTACACAACATATACCTATGTTGCTCTAGCCAAAACCTTTTACACAGTGTCTCCACAGTTTGAGTGAATGACTTAATAGACTTGGCAATGTAGCCCATATACACCCATCGCCCAAGCAGACATCATTCGGCTAGTTTAGTAATTGTTCTACTTTGCATCACAGCAACACTGCACAGTCCTTCTTCTCTTCGCTTCTTATCTATCGCCTAATTCTACTCTTTTTTTATCTCCTTGGCTTTGGCTTTCAGTACATCATGCGCACCACCTACCTTTTCTGGTCCAGAGTAACCTTCTACACTGTAGCTCCCCACTGTCGTGCGTAAATCCTAAAGTATCTGGCTATGCTGCCAACCTTGATTCTTTCACAAACTAACGTCTCTAATCGATTCTCTATTTAACATTAACAACCCTGCCGTCTTCTGCACCTCGCTTCGTGTCCCTTGCTTAGTCCTCTCCTACACCCATCCCCATTGCTCTGGCTTTCAGTTCCACCTACTGACTAACTAGCACGGCTGCACCACCCTGTAACCTTTGACACTGTAGCACCGTATATTTGTGCGAAGTACCTAGTATTTGGCTATGCCACCTACTTAAATGCTTTTCACAAGCCGACATCGTTATGACTGATCCTTGTTTTTATATTGAAACTTAACAACACTACCTTGTCCATCTCTTCCTTGCTTCGATTCCATTGTCTAGTCCTACTCCGTCTGTTATCATTTGGTTCTAGCTTTCGTTTGCTATTACAAACCAAGTACGTCCGTTGCTCTAACGACTTACCTTCTACACTGTAGCTCCGCACTATTGTGCGTAGATCCTCAAGCACCTGGCTATGCTGCCCTAATTTTATTCTTCCTCCCCAACTATCATTAACAATTTTAAATCTTCCTCTACTTAACTTAATAACACTGTGCTTTTCACTCTTTAACTTCCATTTTGTATCCTGCTTTTACTTAGTCCTTACCTTAACCCTTTGGCTCTGGTTTTTATTTCCTCGTACGCACCACCTTCCTCCGCTGCTCCACTGACTTACCTTAGGCACTATAGCTCCGCACATTTGTGCGAAGGATCTCAAGTTTTTGGCAATGCTGTCGACCTAAACCCTTCCCACAAGCTGACATCGTAATTAATATTAGTTTTTTTTTCTATTTATTCTTACAACAGTGCAATTTTTATCTCTACCTTGCTACGAATCCCGCGCCTAGTCCCACTTTTTCTGTTAGCATTTGGCCCTGGCTTTCTTTTCCTATTACGTATTACCGACCTCCGCTGCTTTATCGACTTACATTCTACAATGTAGCTCCGCGCTGTTGTGCGCAGCTCCTCAAAAATCTGACTATGCTGCCCACCTTTCTCCACACCCCAAGCTAATATCGCTATCACTAATAATTGTTTCTCTTAACAATCCTGCATTGCCCCTCTTTGCCGCGCTTCGTATCCCTTGCCTAGTCCTACTTCTACATAATTAACCCGGCTCTTTCCCGCTCTGTTCTATGTGTCCAGCCAAATTACCTGTGATACCGTACAGCTCCAAATTCGACTGGTTCACTTAATTATTGTGGCACGGCTGTCACATATTTATCCACCTTTGCGGGCTCATAGCATAGCTAGTTAGCCCTACCCTATCACACCTGCAGCTACAAAAATTGTTTCCGTTAATCGACGCTCCTTATTTCATCGGACAGCTCAGCAGCGCATGTCCGTTATTTTTCTAACTAAAAGCGCATACTTCTGCATACTTAATCCCGCAACTTCCAGCTCCATCATCTCTATTTTTACTCTTACCCGATTGCTCAGAAATCCATAAACCATATTCTTTCAACGAAGAACGGGCTGTGTTACGTCATCAAGCTGGCTCTTACCCCCTATGTTCTCTCTGCCCATCTGACTTACCTGTAACAGCGTAGTGCTACATCTTTGAGTGGTTCACCAAATCATTTTGACACTGTTGCCCCATTTTATTTCAAACCTGTATGTTCATAACATCGCCGTGTCTACCAACATATCTTCCTGTCAGCTACAGAAATCGTTCCTATAAAGCACTGTTCATACCCTTAATCGACTGCTCAACAGTCCATATTCCTTAAACTTTTCGCCAAGAGCGGGCTCTGCTACGCCATGAACCTGGCTAGCACGCCTTCTGTTCTCTCTGTCCATTTGACTTACCTCTGACACTGCAGAGCACCGCCATCGATCGACTTATTTAGTCTATTCGGTCGACGCTACCAATATAGATTCATAGCATTGCTGGCTTTACTAGGCTATCTTCCCTTTAGCTACGGAAAAAGTCCCTATAAAGCACCGATCCCCCGCTTAACTGAATTCTCGGCAGTTCATTTCCCTTAATCGCCCAACAGTAGCAGGTTTTCCTACATAAATAATCCGGGTCTTTCTCGCACTGTTCTATGTGTCCATTCGACTTACCTGTGATACCGTACAGCTCCAAATTCGAGTGGTTCACTCAACCATTATGGCACCGCTACCACATTTTATTCCACTTCTGCAGGTTCATAGCATCGTTAGCTCCTTTATTTCATCTCCTCTTCAACTACAGATATTGATTCTGCAAATCGACGTTCCTTTTCTTAACGGCCCGCTCGGCAGTGCATGTCTAGTAGTGTCTTAACTAAGGCCGGATTCTCTTACATACTTAATTCCAAAACTTCCTTTTCTGTTATCGCTATCCATCTGCTTTACATGTGACAACATAGAGCTCCATCTATAAGTGGCTCACTAAGTCTATTGTGGTGCTGCTCAGCCACTTTTTTCGCAGAATTAGCTCCACTGCTTTGCTGACGTCGCCACGGTATCCTTGCTGCAGCTGCGGCATTTGGTCTAAGCACACACCGCTTCAATGAGACAGTCTTTTCTCGTCACACCTGTGTACAGCGCTTTCTTTCTTTGATGCACTGCACCACATATCCTGACACTTGGTTTCCGCACACACGTTTCCACTCTCATCTTTAATAAGCAAGCACAAACAGATGATGTCATGGTTTGTAAATATACATACAAAACGAGGTAAAACCTTTGGCAAGGTTCGAGGTCGCCAGCTCTCCTTACTCCCTACTTCAGTTCAAAGCCCTTCCTTTTTGTGACCTATTCTTTCTTTTTCCCCGCGAGACCTGCAGTGGGGTGTTGTATAAACTTACCGGCATCGTCGTATCTATAGATACGATCTATAGACATATGTGGACAGCTAGGGACAACACCGCGAGCATTCTGTTCCCTTGATATGCATCAGCTGGTGGTTTGAACGTTTGCGTTCAAATCATTTTTATCTTCGGAATATCACCTCAAGAAAGCCGCGCCTCCCTGTAAATGTTCAAATTACTTCAAATGCCATGACATTACATTCCGTTCACTTCTCCAGTGGATTAATTCTGGTAGCAGGTTCTTTATATGCTTGGCGTCAGTACCGACGGATACGGTACCCGCCTTGCTAGTGTAGTCCGCCATCAATCCTATGCCTCTGGAAGCTTATCTATTATGGTCTGTTCTATTACGTTCGGCCCTACTTGGATTCTGGAGATTACAGAAAGCCTTTCGATCCTTATCCATCACTGTTTTGAACAATTTGGTTCAACTCATTAGCAGCTTGATAACATGACCTGAAAAAGCTTCACCTCCCTGTAAGTGATCAGCTTACTTGCGGTGTCATGGCCTCATGCTTTGTCCATCTGGACAGTGGATACTTTCTCCTAGCATCAACATCTTTATCTGCTTAGTTAGTATCCGATGGATACGTTGCCCACCTTGCCAATGCGGTCCAAGCTCTATCCTATGCCTCTGAATGCTTACCTATTCTTATATATTATGGAAGCCTTTTGATCTTCATCCTCTATCGGTTTGTATAATTTGGTTCAAATCATTGTCACCCTCGAAACATCTAAAAAAAAACAACCTCATCTCCCTGCAAGTGTTTAACGTACTTGCGATGCCATGACTTTATGCTCCGTCCACCTCGCCAGTGGATTATTTCTCCTGGTATCAGAATCCTCATCTAGTTGGCGCCATTATACCATGGATACTTCACCCACCTCGCCAGTGTGGTATGCAGATGTTATAACTTTCGGATGTATATTGTCTGTAGTCTATACTACTGCGCTCTGCCATACCTGATTCCAAAGACAACCGCAAGCTCCTTGATTGTTCGCAACATCCTTTTAAAAAAGCTTTATCTTCATGCAAGCGTCCCACATACCTGCGATGGTTATCTCTCGTGGACCTGCCAACGACACCCACTTGACCCTGGGGTTATCTGCTCGGACAATGATACTGCTTATGATTTGAGTTCCATAGTTACCTGCGCAACTCAGCATCTTAATATACGCAGCTCCATCTCCGATCAGTTGCGCCGGCAACAACCGTTACTGCCCACACAGCACGGTGTCACGACTTTGTCACAGAAATGGCACAGCTTAGTTTCATTGTCGGCTCTGGGCAACGCTGCGCCATGGATGTGGTCAGTGGACGGAGGGTTCCTAATGATTTAGCGCATCTACCGAATGGCGACGCGGGAACGTCGACACTTAATTGTCTAGCCACTTTTTCCAAGCCCGGAAGCCCTAGGATTACATTGCCCTTGTTAGTGTACAATTATCGATGATATACTGCGTGCCTTATAAATTACCTAACGTGCACATAAGCATGCGGAACAGCGCAAACGAAATACGTTGACTCCAGCTAGCGCAGCCTTGACTTATGCGGTATGACGGTACCCACAGCTTAATCAGATTAATCCGAACCACTTATTACCACAGAATTATTCTCAGTAAACACGGATAAGTCCCACGTATAAGCTAAAGGCGCTATGCACAAGGTAATCACCCAGCGTGGCTAATGGACGCTGTACAGTTGACGGGCATGACAAGTGTATGCATGTGGACACCAAATGCTGCGCGATTGTTCAGGCAGTAGGTACGCACAAGGTAGGAGGACATCGAAATGCAGGTACCCGAAATAAGGATGAAACAATTCGCGTCAGCAGTAATGACAAGTGAATGGCTTGTACAAATAGTTAACGGGGAATGTACAAACCAGGGGAATTGGAGCGCAGGTGTATTTCCTGGTTCTACCTAAATGTATTGCTCCGAACTTAAGGCGGTTGTTAAATGAATGTATGAAGTGTAAACAGGGATTAACTGGTACGTGATGTCTTGTTGCTGTATAACGTGTCCTCTGACTATTCGTTGACAAGGGTTATGTAGCCACCGTTGAATAGCTTTTGAAATGTCCGAGGTGGCTTCCTTTGCATTGAATCTTTCAGGTAAAATTGCTGAGCAGATTTGTAACGAAAGATTATTGCATTTACCTTACACGTGCGCCTACATAATTGTACACCGGAATGGGAACACATAACCGATCCCGGAAAAGTTGAATTGTCCTAAAACCTCATTGGAAAACATCCAGTTGAGAATTCCCGCGGTTGCTACGGCAATCCTTTCGCCAAGTACTCGAAGTAGGAATTCCTTCTTATGGCGGAAACGGTCATCGATAATTTCGCTTACGAAGTAGTTTTTCCTTTCCTCAGTAGAAAGCGATGCATCGAAGGATCGGATCGCTTACAAACTGCAGTGCAGTAGGGGCAAGGCGGCTGATACTTGGCTGACGGTGAGATTCATGTGTTCCGCCGTATTCATACTTTTGCACAGGATGTATACCTGCTTTAACAACAGGCTCTAGTTGTCTGCTCATCATGGAAGCGGTAAAGACAAACATACCCTTCATTTGTTGCAATCCTTGCATGTACATTTCATGCGTCCGCTTAACAGCTTCGCAGCATTTAGGGAAGGCATCTGCAGGTGAATCATTAGTATGGGCAACATACGTAAAAGAAAAATCTGCAAAAATGGTACGGCGTGCCTGCTGAAAGTCAGGGCTGAAAGTACGGACGGTATAAGAATTTCTTTCGTCGGTAAACCCATCAAGCGGGTCTTTGTTGCTCGTCTTTAGTACATCTAAATGGACTTGCGTTACCTCATGAGTGGCTAACAAGTTGTATTAGTGTAACGTTGAATTACCGACTGCTTTCTTCAACTCGTTTGCGTACGCAGATTGTAAAACATCATATCCCAAAATCGGTATGGAAATAGACGGTCAGGAGAAGAGATGGAAATGCGGTGGGTTTCTAAAGAAAGCGGCTGTGGGTTTTTGTCGCAAACCGCTTACACTTCCCTGTTTCAGTATTTCGGTGGTAGTGAAACAATGTCCCTTTACATACCCCCTATGTGTGGTTGATGTATCCCGCGCTGCTGTATATTCCGTTTGGGTGTAACGCAATGAAGGCTCGTAGGACCGCCCCAAAAACAATGCGTAATTACGATTCCCTACACATTGCACTTCAACCATTTGAACTTACCGGTTCGACCTAAAACGGTAACCGTATAGAGTTGGTCCCAAAAAGCCGGAGGACTGTGCATCCTCAACGCGTTTACGTAGTCATGATGGAATGGCTTCGACATTCCCTCTTGACTGAAGCCATGCGTTGCTGATCACCTTTGTTTTCCACACACCTTCACGTATGCTTACAACGCAGTGTGAGGCCACTTCCGTGGAAACGGAAAGGGAATGTTAAACAATTGTTTTAGTAAAGCAGTGCATTCCGAAACTGGAATTATAGACTCTACGTACCTGTGCGTACTGATGTACTGTTGATTAACAGGGACAGAGTTGGTGCGTGCATGTCTTCCATGTACATACGTTGACGTCACAAACTGTAAGGTGCTCGTGGAAGTAAACCGTTATGACAACCTTAAGACATCGTGCATCAGATAGGTATTTGACCTATGCACTGATGTGTGCGAGTGTGCATTCCATGAAGTTAGCGGCCGCGGTATCTTTATTCCCACTGCTGACCAACCACTGCAAGCCCCCGACATATACCACTACGGTAGCCAAAGGGCTGCGGAAGGGTAAAGAGAATTCCAGGAAAACAAAACACGTGATTTGGTTATCGGATACAACCACCGAACTGTTTGTCAGCCGACTTAAATGCAGCGTTCCGTTAGAAAGATACGTCCGGGGAAAGCAGGTGCTTTTCCAATTGCACGTAAATGGCGTTTACGCCATAGGGAAACACGTTGCAGACAAGGAGAACAATATGCAAGAAGTTATCATCTACATGTACGGCCACTCCATGCAACTGTGTAAGGTGTGGTCACCTCTACCTAGGTATGCCGGGGAATTCTAATCACCTATTGACACAGGGATATCCCATGGCTAAAGGTTGACAAGGCCCAACTGCGTACACACTTTACACACAGAAATACGCATGCAATTGTTATGCGGCGACAATGCAGCCGGTTGTTAATGAAGTCACCTGTGATTTCTGATTTCACTAACAATCGCCACGCTTTCGAACGGTTAAATCAGAAAACTTTTCATATACGTGAACCTACACGGTGAAGTTCACCTTATTCACAATCATCATGTCTTTCCCTTATACCTGCAAAAGGCTGAACGCCGACCCTTCACTGTTGGCTTTCCGCAAAATTGTCACCTTCCTGTTAGCTTAAAGGGGAATTCCTCCTATTTTGATTATGCCCGAATCAATTACGGCGTACCGTGAACATCACTGCATTATTCGGTATTGTGGATGCGTAGATTACAGCGCCTACTATAAAGGCTAGCTTACGTGTTACGCATGTAAACTTAAACTTAACGTGAGGGGTTGCGGCATCTTGCTCCTCGACCAAAACGTTCGCACACTTAGCACAGCGCCGCATAAATTGTGACACGGTGAGCGCACTGCTTCTAAGCACCTGCTTTAACCGGCATTTATGTGAATCAAATAGAAAAGCGATGAAGTTGTCCAAAGGTAGACGGTGTTGTACATGCTGTGATAAGCGAATAAGGGAATGAACATCAATAGTCAATTGATCCTCTCCACAGAGATGGAAAAATTTATCCACGGACATTTCCACGGCTCCTTCCGAGAAATCCGCCAACTATTCCTGCGGTACAGTATGACACAGAAACGGTGCGTTTTCGCATATGTCCCGCATGATAGCGCTGCATTCCTCCGGGGTACACAGTACCACACCAAGTGGCCGTGGTCGATGATTTGGTACATTAACTGGGATGTCCCCCAGTCTAAACAGCTTTCTGTAATGTTGTCGTCGTTATTGTTGCTCATGTGCCACCATTTCGTAATCCCAACGGCCATGTCTTTTGTGAATCTATTCTCCGCATTCATCCGACGTGTGCAAGCCTAAACACAGTATGCTGGGGGTGGTGGCGCGGAATAAGTATATTGAAACACCGGGATATGGTCCAATAGGTGCATAGAAGGAGCGGAGAATGGAACAAGTGTTATGCAAGGCTTCACAAAAAGGTACCTTCTAACAATCAGGATGCCACGTAACGCGAATGGGATAACTGACTGCCTGGAATAGAGATAATGCAGGACCAAAAAAGGAGTGGTCGTTAAAGTAACCGTAGCTAGAAGCGACACGCAAGGTAAAGGAAAAGGATAAGCTGTTCAGTCCTAGGCAAAATGCACACGCACGTATGGGTGAGGTCATGCACACTCATCCCCAGACGGCGGGTCACTAAGCAGCTGGGAGGTAATATGGTATAGAATATACGGTGTGAACGCAAGGAATACACGTACCAAGTATTCTACGTGAAAATTGCTACTTACCTTGTCAATGCATGTTATCCCCGTGCCTCGCAAAGTGCAATGATTCTTCAGGCTGCTTAGAATACGAGGCTATCACGAAGGAACGTATAAGTAAATGTGTATCATCACAACGCCACGGAATTGCGTGTTTCGGATGTCCTTAGGTACACCTGAACACCCCATAATGTGTGATCGCGATCCCGAGGTAGGCATACGCGAGGTACCTGTCAAGTAGGGGGCACCGCATTTGGGAGTAGTGGGTGTACCTAACGATCAAGCGGAAGCAATGGCGTGGTTATAAAGAAACGAAAAAGGTAGCAAAATGAAAAAAGGACTTACAAACACCGATGGCATTTGAACTGGTCCGGCCAACTTTACGAGGCGCACAGCTGATGATACCAATGGCCGCAGTCGGAGCACATGGCCTAGTCAACCACCTGTGCACTCTGGGCCTCGCAGTAAGTTTGGAGGCACTAAGCGCACTTGTTACTGTCGTAATTGGCTGGGAGTTTTACATGGCAACGACGCTTCCTTGGAGGCTTATACACCCTGGCGGTTTTCGTGTGCAAATCTCTAAACCGAAGTGTCTTCCTTTCCTGCTCCTGACCGACTGAGGATTCCGGAATGGACACTAAACGTTGCTTACGTCTTGTGCCTTCCCTGGTAGGTCCGCTCGTCCCATCCGCAGCTGAATCAATTAGGTTTTCGGATGCGGGAACCGCAACGTCCTCGTGAGAGGTGCATAGGTTGCGTAGTAACTCCCGCAACTGTTCCATAACCTCCCTATACTTCGCATCGCAAAGGCTGCAAACCAGCACCTGAATATCACCAAGAACTTGACTGCATTCCCGAAGCTTCTGTTCCCTACTTACCGGTGCAACTGTGGGACTCGACGACAGGGGGATGATGGCGAAGTACGTGGATGCGGTTACACGCGGATGTCGCGCGTGCAACAACCCACCGGTTGTTACGCAATATGTCGTCACCCGGTCTGCCTGCCGCGTGCAATGCATGCACAATGTGGGCGCACGGAAGCAGCCACTGCCGACTGAAGCTGCATTGGCACGTTACCTCCCTCATGCATTAACACGGTGTACTGTCTACGGGTACCTTGCACTTGACATCTATCATCGGACAACTCGGTCACTGTCACCTTCTCCCTAGTGTAATGGCATCGCAGGCGCGTCCTTGCATACCCTAAAAACTGAAACGCAGCCTGTCCAAGGCTATGGAAGCAAGAGTCTATTGCGTGCTCCGACAAGTCCGTTTTGCCCATCAGATCTTCCCACTGAGCTTGAGCATCAAACACGCCGTTAACAACCGCGGTAAACAGGCCTAATAAAGACGTTCGCTCGGAAAGACCGCTCTTTAAATACCTATTTTCGTTTTCCACGCGGTTTGTTGTAAAGCAGCCGAACAAACATGTCGACGTCAAGCGGTGCGCTGCCCATGATGAGACAAACGGTAACCAGCTCCATACTAAGTATCTGTGCGCGTCGGCGTTCCGGTCTTTAATGGCTGTCAACTACTTGGCGAACAACCGGGAGCTCCTAGCGTACACTAAGTTCCGTACCCACTGCTTAATAAGCAACCTGTCTGTTGCACTTTTCGCGGATAACCCGTTGCAACGACGGGTGACATTCTTCAGCAAGTGGAAACGGCCCAACACTATCCGCGTACAGGGGTACACCGTTTGGAATGCATGCACCTGGGCCATGCACTTATCAATCACTACCGTCCTTGCTGTCTCAGTCGCTGGTAACATCAGGCGCACGTTGCGCACCGCGTTCATGTAGGAGACCGTTGTGTCATTAGGAAGCAACGCGTAGAAAATGGAACGCCCAATACCATGCACATCTACTAACATGCAGTGCCACAGTATGTAGCCACCGCAGTTCACCTGATGTGTCGCGTCCGCCAGCAGTACCTCACTATAAAGCTCCATGAGGTCACGTACGTACCTGGAAACGAAAAATATGAGCCGCATCTCCGACTCCTCATACTCCACATTACATTGACCGACGCTCTCAAGCAAATGTATCACACCTTCCACCGAGTTCCCCTCAACCTTTACCCTCATCTTATCTCTTATGGTCCGGAGGTCGTAATGGTTCAACCTTTTACCGTAGTACGTCAACGCATACCTCCTGATCTCGTGTGTGTCCTTGAACGACTGCATCATACGATAGTTGTCCTCTTCCGCGTGCCGCGGTAGCCGTCTGTTGGTGACATAGAGAAACGGCTTTCCTACATGAAAGTTATGGCTGTGCTCAACGCTGTACGATACTATGTCGTAGCACCAGCCGTTATGCCGTATGGCAATATGCGCCTTGCAGTCATAACTTTTGTGCCTAAAGTTAATAAGCGTCTCACAAACATTACATGTGAACTTACCGCTTGCATATGCATCCTCTTCGGGAACAATGCACGCATCTATAGTGTACGGATGTATACGGCACACCCTCAGGCAACTCTTTTCCGGTTTTCCTCCTATACGTCACCGATGTCAGGACATCTGATTTGAAAAAAACATGATGCAGTTCGCATTTGAAAGCGCTTTAAGTCACTTTCGAACTTCTCAAAAGTGCGGTACACAGGCTGATGGAAGACAGCACAGAAAGCAGCGGTATCGTCGACGAGACCGTGTTCCACAACGGTCGGTGATCAGCAGACGACTGGGAGGTTGCCGAGCGGATTCAGTCGACGATACCGCTGCTTTCCGTGCTGTCTTCCATCAGCGTGTGTTCCGCACTTTTGAGAAGTTCGAAAGTGACTTAAAGCGCTTTCAAATGCGAACTGCATCATGTTTTTTTCAAATCAGATGTCCTGACATCGGTGGCGTATAGGAGGAAAACCGGAAAAGAGTTGCCTGAGGGTGTGCCGTATACATCCGTACACTATAGATGCGTGCATTGTTCCCGAAGAGGATGCATATGCAAGCGGTAAGTTCACATGTAATGTTTGTGAGACGCTTATTAACTTTAGGCACAAAAGTTATGACTGCAAGGCGCATATTGCCATACGGCATAACGGCTGGTGCTACGACATAGTATCGTACAGCGTTGAGCACAGCCATAACTTTCATGTAGGGAAGCCGTTTCTCTACGTCACCAACAGACGGCTAACGCGGCACGCGGAAAAGGACATCTATCGTATGATGCAGTCGTTCAAGGACACACGCGAGCTCAGGAGGTATGCGTTGACGCACTACGGTAAAAGGTTGAACCATTACGACCTCCGGACCATAAGAGATAAGATGAGGGTAAAGGTTGAGGGGAACTCGGTGGAAGGTGTGATACATTTGCTTGAGAGCGTCGGTCAATGTAATGTGGAGTATGAGGAGTCGGAGATACGGCTCATATTTTTCGTTTCCAGGTACGTACGTGACCTCATGGAGCTTTATAGTGAGGTACTGCTGGCGGACGCGACACATCAGGTGAACTGCGGTGGCTACATACTGTGGCACTGCATGTTAGTAGATGTGCATGGTATTGGGCGTTCCATTTTCTACGCGTTGCTTCCTAATGACACAACGGTCTCCTACATGAACGCGGTGCGCAACGTGCGCCTGATGTTACCAGCGACTGAGACAGCAAGGACGGTAGTGATTGATAAGTGCATGGCCCAGGTGCATGCATTCCAAACGGTGTACCCCTGTACGCGGATAGTGTTGGGCCGTTTCCACTTGCTGAAGAATGTCACCCGTCGTTGCAACGGGTTATCCGCGAAAAGTGCAACAGACAGGTTGCTTATTAAGCAGTGGGTACGGAACTTAGTGTACGCTAGGAGCTCCCGGTTGTTTGTCAAGTATTTGACAGCCATTAAAGCACCAAACCCCGATGCGCACAGGTACTTAGTAAGGACCTGGTTACTGTTTGCCTCATCATGGACAGCGCACCGCTTGACGTCAACCTGTTTGTTCGGCTGCTATACAACAAACCGCGTGGAAAACGAAAATAGGCATTTAAAGAGCGGTCTTTCGGAGCGAACGTCGTTATTAGGCCTGTTTACCGCGGTCGTTAACCGCGTGCTTGATGCTCAAGCCCAGTGGGAAGATCTGATGGGCAAAACGGACTTGTCGGAGCACCCAATAGACTCTTGCTTCCATAGTCTTAAGCACGCTGCGTATCAGTTTTCAGGGTATGCAAGGACGCGCTTGCGATGCCACTACACCAGGGAGAAGGTGACAGTGACGGAGTTGTACGATGATAGATGCCAAGTGCAAGGTAGCCGTAGACAGCACACCTGGGTTAATTCGTGAGGAGGTAACGTGCCAATGCAGCTTCAGTCGGCAGTGGCTGCTTCCGTGCGCCCACATTGTGCATGCATTGCACGCGGCAGGCAGACCGGTTGACGACATATTGCTTAACAACCGGTGGGTTGTGTTGCACGCGCGACATCCGCGTGTAACCGCATCCACATCCTCCGCCATCGTCCCCTTGCCGTCGAGTTCCACAGTTGCACCGGTGGGTAGGGAACAGAAGCTTCGGGAATGCAATTAAGTATTTGGTGATATTCAGGTGCCGGTTTGAAGCCTTGGCGATGCGAAGTATAGGGAGGTTATGGAACAGTTGCGGTAGTTACTACGCAACCTATGCAGCTCTCATGAGGACGTTGCGGTTCCCGCATCCAAAAACCTAATTGATTCAGCTGCGGAAGGGACGAGCGAACCTACTAGGGAAGGCACAAGACGTAAGCAACGTTTAGTGCCGATTCCGGAATCCTCAGTCGGTCAGGAGCAGGAAAGGAAGACACTTCGGTTTAGAGATTTGCACACGAAAACCGCCAGGGTGTATAAGCCTCCAAGGAAGCGTCGTTGCCATGCAAAACTCCCAGCCAATTACGACAATGACAAGTGCGCTTCGTGCCTGCAAGCAGACTGCGAGGCACAGAGTGGACAGGTGGTTGACTGGGTCATGTGCTCCGACTGCGGCCTTTGGTATCATCAGCTGTGCGTCTCGTACAGTGGACAGGACCATTTCACCTGCCATCGGTGTTTGTAAGTCCCTCTTTTTCATGTTGCTACCTTTTTCCTCTCTTTATAACCACGCCATTGCTTCCGCTTGATCGTTAGGTACACCCACTGCTCCCATATGCGGTGCCTTCCCTACTTGACGGTTACGTCACGTATGCCTACCTCGGTATCGGGATCACACATTATGGGGGTGGTCAGGTGCACCTAAGGACATCAGAAGCACCCGCGATTCCGCTGAGTTTTGAGGATACACATTTACTTATACGTTCCTTCGTGACAGCCTCATATTCTAAGCTACCTGAAGAACCATTGCGTATTGCGAGGCACCGGGATAACATGCATTGACAAGGTAAGAATCACCCTTGATGTAGAATACCAGGTACATGTATTCCTTGCGCTCACACTGCATTTCTGATATCATATTACCTTCCAGCTGCTTAGTGATCCGCCGCGTGGGAATGAGTGTGAATGACCTCACCCATACGTGCTTGAGCATTTCGCCTGGGACTGAATAGCTTATGCTTTCCTTTACCTTGCGTGTCGCTTCTAGCTACGGTTGCTTAAACGACCACCCCTTTTTGGTCCTGCATTATCTCTATTCCAGGCAGTCAGTTATCCCATTCGCGTTACGTGGCATCCTGATTGTTAGAAGGTACCTTTTTGTGAAGCCTTGCATAACACTTGTTCCATTCTCCGCTCCTTCTATGCACCTATTGGACCATATCCCGGTGTTTCAATATACTTATTCCGCGCCACCACCCCCAGCATACTGTGTTTAGGCTTGCACACGTCGGATGAATGCGGAGAATAGATTCACAAAAGACATGGCCGTTGGGATTACGAAATGGTGGCACATGAGCAACAATAACGACGACAACATTACAGAAAGCTGTTTAGACTGGGGGACATCCCAGTTAATGTACCAAACCATCGACCACGGCCACTTGGTGTGGTACTGTGTACCCCGGAGGAACGCAGCGCTATCATGCGGGACATATGCGAAAACGCACCGTTTCTGTGTCATACTGTACCGCAGGAATAGTTGGCGGATTTCTCGGAAGGAGCCGTGGAAATGTCCGTGGATAAATTTTTCCATCTCTGTGGAGAGGATCAATTGACTATTGATGTTCATTCCCTTATTCGCTTATCACAGCATGTACAACACCGTCTACCTTTGGACAACTTCATCGCTTTTCTATTTGATTCACATAAATGCCGGTTAAAGCAGGTGCTTAGAAGCAGTGCGCTCACCGTGTCACAATTTATGCGGCGCTGTGCTAAGTGTGCGAACGTTTTGGTCGAGGAGCAAGATGCCGCAACCCCTCACGTTAAGTTTAAGTTTACATGCGTAACACGTAAGCTAGCCTTTATAGTAGGCGCTGTAATCTACGCATCCACAATACCGAATAATGCAGTTGATGTTCACGGTACGCCGTAATTGATTCGGGGCATAATCAAAATAGGGATGTGACAGGGATCATTGCATGCATTACGTACGCATGGCTACAAGCTTTGTAAGCGTATGAATTGAAATCCAGTTATTTGGGTATATATAAAGCAGAGGGGTTTAAAAATCCTGTTTTATTTCCATTTGGGAGAAATAGAGTGCAAATGCATAGCCTTCCTGGGTGATGAAGATTACGTGATATTGCCACTACTGTATACGTTCCGCTTTCCAACTCCGGTATCACAGGAAGGAGCCAATTTTGCGGAAAGCTAACAGTGAAGAGTCGGCGTTCAGCCTTTTGCAGGTATAAGGAAAAGACATGATGAGTGCACATAAGGTGAACCTCACCGTGTAAGTTCACTTATATGAAAAGTTTTCTGGTTTAACCGTTCGAAAGCGTGGCGATTGTTAGTAAAATCAGAAATCATAGGTGACTTCATTAACAACCGGCTACATTGTCGCCGCATAACAATTGCACGCGTATTTCTGTGTATAAAGTGTGTACGCAGTTGCGCCTTGTCAACCTTTAGCCATGGGATATCCCTGTATTAATAGGTGATTACAATTGCCCGGCATACCTAGGTAGAGGTGAGCACACCTCACACAGTTGCATGGAGTGGCCGTACATGTAGATGATAACTGCTTGCATATTGCTCTCCTTGTCTGCAACGTGTTTCCCTATGGCGTAAACGCCATTTACCTGCAATTGAAAAAGCACCTGCTTTCCCCGGGCATATCTTTCTAACGGAACGATGCATTTAAGTCGGCTGACAAATCAGTTCGGTGGTTGTATCCGGTAACCAAACCACGTGTTGTGTTTTCCTGGAATTCTCTTTACCCTTCCGCAGCCCTTTGGCTATTGTAGTGGTATATGTCGGGGGCTTGCAGTGGTTGGTCAGCAGTGGGAATAAAGATATTGCGACCGCTAACTTCATGGAATGCACACTCGCACACATCAGTGCATGGGTCAAATACCTATCTGATGCACGATGTCTTAAGGTTGTCATAATGGTTTACTTCCACGAGCACTAAACAGTTTGTGACGTCAACGTATGTACATGGAAGACATGCACGTACCAATTCTGCCCCTGTTAATCAACAGTACATCAGTACGCACAGGTACGTAGAGTCCATAATTCCAGTTTCGGAATGCAGTGCTTTACTAAAACAATTGTTTAACATTCCGTTTCCACGGAAGAGGCCTCACACTGCGTTGTAAGCATACGTGAAGGTGTGTGGAAAACAAAGGTGATAAGCAACGCACGACTTCAGTCAAGAGGGAATATCGAAGCCATTCCACCACTACCGTCGCATGACTACGTAAACGCGTTGAGGATGCACAGTCCTCCGGCTTTTGGGGACCTACTATATACGGTTACCGTTTTAGGTCGAACCGGTAAGTTCAAATGATTGAAGTGCAATGTGTAAGGAATCTTAATTACGCATTGTTTTTGGGGCGGTCCTACGAGCCTTCATTGCGTTACACCCAAACGGAATATACAGCAGCGCGGGATACATGGACCACACATAGGGGGTATGTAAAGGGACATTGTTTCACTACCACCGAAATACTGGAACAGGGAAGTGTAAGTGGTGTGCGACAAAAACCCGCAGCCGCTTCCTTTAAGAACCCACCGCATTTCCATCTCTTCTCCCGACCGTCAAATTCCATACCGATTTTGGGATATGATGCCTTACAATCTGCGTACGCAAACGAGTTGAAGGAAGCAGTCGGTAATACAACGTTACACTAATTCAACTTGTTAGCCACTCATGAGGTAACGCAAGTCCATTTAAATGAACTGAAGACAAGCAACAAAGACCCGCTTGGTGGGTTTACCGACGAAAGAAATCCTTATACCGTCCGTACTTTCAGCCCTAACTTTCAGCAGGCACGCCGTACCATTTTTGCAGACTTTCCTTTTACGTATGTTGCCCATACTAATGATTCACCTGCAGATGCCTTTTCTAAATGCTGCCAAGATGTAAAGCGGATGCATGACATGTACATGCAAGGATTGCAACAAATGATGGGTATGTTTGACTTTACCGCTTCCATGATGCTCCTGAGCAGACAACTAGAGCCTGTTGTTAAAGCAGGTATGCATCCTGTGCAAAAGTATGTATACGATGGCGGAACACATGAATCTTACCGTCAGCCAAGTATCAGCCGCTTTGCCACTTCCGCTCTGCAGTTTGTAAGAGATACGGTCCTTCGATGCATCGCTTTCTACTGAGGAAATGAAAAACTACTTCGTAAGCGAAATTACGAATGACCGTTTCCGCCATCAGAAGGAATTCCTACTTCGAGTACCTGGCGAAAGGATTGCCGTAGCAACCGCGGGAATTCTCAACTGGATGTTTTCCAATGAGGTTTTAGGACAATTCAACTTTTGCGGGATCGGTTATGTGCTCTCATTCCGGTGTACAATTATGTAGGCGCACGTGCAAGGTAAATGCAATAATCTTTCGTTACAAATCTGCTCAGCAATTTTACCTGAAAGATTCAATGCAAAGGAAGCCACCTCCTTGGACATTTCAAAAGCTATTCTGCGGTGGCTATACAACCCTTGTCAACGAATAGTCAGAGGACGCGTTATACAGCAACAAGACATCACGTACCAGGTAATCCCTGTTTACGCATACATTCACCTACCAACCGCTTTAAGGCCGAAGCAATGCATTTAGGCAGAATCAGGAAATACACCTGCGCTCCAATTCCCCTGATTTGTACATTCCCCGTTAACTATTTGTACAAGCCATTCACTTGTCGGTACTGCTGACGCGAATTGTTTCATCCTCGTTTCGGGTACCTGCATTTCGATGTTCCCTTTCGTTGTGCGTATCTACTGCCTGAACAATCGCGCAGCATTTGGTGTCCACATGCATGTACTTGTCACGCCTGTCAACTGTACAGCATCCATTAGCCACGCTGGGTGATTGCCTTGTGCATAATGCCTTTAGCTTATACGTGGGACTTATCCGTGATTATTGAGAATAATTCTGGGGTATTAAGTGGTTCGGATTAATCTGATTAAGCTGTGGGTACCGTCATACCGCATAAGTCAAGGCTGCGCTAGCTGGTGTCAACGTATTTCGTTTGCGCTGTTCCGCATGCTTATGTGCACGTTAGGTAACTTAAGGCACGCATTATATCATCGGTAATTGTACACTAACAAGGGCAATGTAATCCTAGGGCTTCCGGGCATGGAAAAAGTGGCTAGACAATTAGGCGTCGACGTTCCCGCGTCACCATTCGGTAGATGCGCTAAATCATTAAGAACCCTCCGTCCACTGACCACACCCATGGCGCAGCGTTGTCCAGAGCCAACAATGAAACTAAGCTGTGCCATTCCTGTGACAAAGTCGTGACACCGTGCTGTGTGGGCAGTAACGGTTGTTGCCGGCGTAACTGATCGGAGATGGAGCTGTGTATATTAACATGCTGTGTTGCGCATGTAACTATGGAACTCAAATCATAAGCAGTATCATTGTCCGATCAGATAACCCACGGGCCAGGTGGGTGTCATTGGCAGGTCCACGAGAGATAACCATCGCAGGTATGTGGGACGCTTGCATAGAGATAAAGCTTTTTCTAAAGGATGTTGCGAACAATCAAGGAGCTTGCGGTTGTCTTTGGAATCAGGTATGGCAGAGCGCAGTAGTATAGACTACAGACATCCGAAAGTTATAACATCTGCATAACCCACTAGCGAGGTGGGTGA